GGTGAGTGTCTTTGTTATTGGGAAAAATATTGCCTCCAGCATGGATTTAGAAAGGGTTACACCAGAAGATGTTATTTGAGGCCCCTAAACTGCACCGTGTCTTGGCAAAATTGGAATTTTTCTCTATTTATTACGAAAAACGTTTTTTGCACTGTGGAGGAGAAAATCGAAGGTGTGAAAAAAAGGCTTATTCGATGTCAGAAATAAGGTGTCATCCACGATTTTTACTTTGCGGGGGAAGTCTTTTATTAGGCACATCATATTTTTGTAGGCATCGCCAGATGCTAAAGGTAACCTTACACTGTCAGGTACATGAACCTTCCCATTCTGTGATGAAGGTGGTGAGTGGCTGGGACTTTTATTTAAGGGGATGGAATGATATCCATCAACAGCATCCAACACTGTTTTCTTTTGTTTAGGTCAATATAAATAGCTGGAATGGTGACCCTGTATGGTGTGTTTCCCGTTTGCACTGTGAATTCAGGTGTTGGTAAAAAATAAGGTTCTTCGTGGTTTTACATTTTTTTTGATAAGAATTACCAGAGCTACATGAATTTGAAGGCATGCCAACGGGTATCGGAAGAAAACCCTACACATCTTCCCAAAGGGCTATAAGGCAAGTGAAAAACTGACAGGAATTGGGTTAAAAAAACACTTGCTTTGGGGACTTCCTTCTTTGAGGTGTATAAGTCTGACGAGGCCAGATTTTGGTGGAATTCAAATTGTTCTTGAACGCCGTTTCACAAATTGGGCTATACGCAATTCTGAACTTATCAATGGGTTATTTGGAAAAAAAGGGGAGTTCTTACGTTTAAAGTGATAAGACTTTGCATTGTTTAGGCTCACGTGATTTTTTTGTGGAAATATAAAGCGGAATGAGAAAAACATTGTTGTTTGGGGTCATATTGTAGTTGTTGGCTTGGAAGTTATTGGGAAAGTATCCCAATCAATGACAGGCTGCTTCATTTTTAAAAGTATAAGCCTGACGAATCTTTTTGCATATGTATAGGGCTTGTTTAGTTGTTTTCCTGTGGACGATGAAAGTGAACGGGGAGCCAACCCTGACATATAACGTAAAGGTCTTTATATTAAAGTGATAAGACGACTTTTCTTGATGGAATGAGGTTTTATAAAGTGAAAGCCCCATATTCAGAAGGTGCTATAAGTCCCCGTGAGACATATGGTGGCCCCAACGTCAGGAAAAGATTGTCATCCTAGTGCTGTGATTTCTGGGGATATTACATAATTTTCTGGGATCCGGTTTTGCGAAAATGGAAACAACATATGCATTAATTTCCTTATCACGGTTAGTGTCTTTAGAAATAATACGTGCCTGTCGTTTTATTGAATGTGATGTGGGCGATAAGAGACATGATTTTGGCTTCATTAGCCTCTAGGCTTTTCCTGACCGCTTGAGCTGGTTTATAAGCCCGGCAACACGATAGGTGATTGGGCTTTAAAATTAAAATGTTTGTCCCCCTGGGCATTTTAAAGGCGTGAAACGGTTCCTGAGGTGCCATGATGGTGGCTGGTAATATAAAAGCCTGAAAGAAGTTTAACATTGCAGTTGCAATAGGTGCTGGTACGGATCGCCTCGTTTTGTTGGTAAAAAGAAGGTGCGGTATGTTGTTCATTTTAATGTGATCAGACCTGAAGCATAGATCGATCCAGCATTTTGAAGGCAATATAAAGCGGAAAGTGGACCGCTAACCTGGTTTATAAGTTTTGGCCGAACACGGGTTATTGTTAAAAAATGAAGAAGAGTTCTTCATTTTCAAGTGATAAGACTGTTCGCAGCGGCATGTCGATTTTGAAGGCAATATAACCACTCGAAAGCGGAGCAAGCTTCACTGTGGGTTATTAGCATAGAGAAGGCTATTTGTTAGGTGCAATAAGGAGGATCTCATTATGCTAAAGTGGGATACAAAACTGACGAGGGTACATGATTTTGAAGGTAATGTAAATGGAAGTAAATAAATACTAGCATGTGGGCTCAGTTTGCAAGATATGTATGAACACAACCTATTTTATTTTTGTCTGCCAGCTGGACGCTTCATTTAAAAACGAAAAACTTACGAGAGTACATGATTTTTAGGCAATATAAATCGGAAAGAAAACACTACACTGTGGGCTATAAGCAAGTGAACGCGGGTTATTCGTAAAAATAAGGTGGAGGTCTTCATTTCAAAGCGATAAGACAGACGAGAGGCACATGATATTGAATGCAATATAAAGAGGAAAGAGGAGACTTTACTGTGCGTCATAAGAATGTGAACACGGGTTATTGGTAAAAATAATGTGGAGTTCTTCATTTTGAAGCGATAAAACTGACGAGAGGCACATGATTTTGATAGCTATGTAAAGCGGATAGAGAGGACTTTACTGTGGGTCATAAGCACGTGAACGACAGTTTTTGGTAAAGATAAGTTTGAGGCCTCTATTTTAAAATGATAAAACTGACGATAGGCACATGATTTTGAAGGCAATATAAAGCGCAAATATGATACTTCACTGTGGGTTATAAGCAAGTGAACACGGGTTATTGGTAAAATTAATGTGGATGTTTTCATTTTGAAGTGATTAGACTGACGTGGACACATGATTTTGAAGGCAATATAAAGGGGAAAGAGAACGCTACACAGTGGGTTATAAGCAAGTGAACGCGGGTTATTGGTAAAATTAAGGTGGAGGTCTTCATTGAATAGTGATCAGTCTGACGAGAGGCACATGATATTGAATGCAATATAAAGAGAAAAGAGGCGACTTTACTGTGGGTTATAATCAAGTGAACACGGATTATTGGTAAAAATAATGTGGAGTTCTTCATTTTCAAGTGATAAAACTGACGAGAGGCACATGATTTTGATAGCAATATATATCGGAAAGAAAAACAAACTACACTGTGGGCTATAAGCAAGTGAACGACAGGTTATTTGTAAAAAATAAGGTTGAGGCTTACTATTTTCAAATGATGACTGACGATAGGCACATGATTTTGAAGGCAATATAAAGCGAAAAGAGGCGACTTTACTGTGGGCTATAAGCACGTGAACGCAATTTATTGGCAAAAATAAGGTTGAGGCCTCTATTTTAAAGTGATAAAACTGATGATAGGTACATGATTTAGAAGTCAATATAAAGCGGAATGGTGATACTTCACTGTGGGTTATTGGTAAAAATAAGGTGGAGATCTTCATTTCAAAGTGATAAGACTGACCTAAGTGACATGATTTTGAAGGCAATATAAAGCGGAGACTTTACTGTGGTTATAAGTAAGTGAACACGGGTTATTGGTAAAATTAACGTGGATGATTTCATTTTAAAGTGATTAGACTGACGTGGGCACATGATTTTGAAGGCAATATAAAGAGGAAAGAGGCGACTTCACTGTGGGTTATAAGCAAGTAAACGCGTGTTATTGTTAAAAATAAGGTGGAGGTCTTCATTTTAAAGTGATTAAACTGACGTTGGCACATGATTTTGAAGGCAATATAAAGCGGAAAGAGGACGCTACACTGTGGGTTAAAAGCAAATGAACACGGGTTATTGGTAAAAATAAGGCGGAGGTCTTCATTTCAAAGTGATAAGTCTGACGATAGGCACATGATTTTGAAGGCAATATAAAGCGGAAAGAGGAGACTTTCCTGTCGATTATAAGCAAGTGAACGCGGGTTATTGGTAAACATAAGGTGGAGGTCTTAATTTTAAAGTGATAACAGTGACGAGAGGCACATGATTTTGAAGTCTATATAAAGCGGAAAGATGATACTTCACTCTGTGTTATAAGCATGAGAACGTGGGTTCTTGTTAATAAGAAGGTGGAGGTCTTCATTTTAAAGTGACAATACTGATGTGGGCACATGATTTTGAAGCCAATATAAAGCGGAAAGTGGACACTGCACTGTGGGTTATAAGCAAATGATCTCGGGTTTTTCATAAAAATAAAGACCGTCATTAATTTCAAGTGATAAAACGGATGTGGACATATCATTTGGAAGGTAATAAAAAGCGGAATCAATTCACTACACTCTGGTTTATAAGCGAGTGAACTCGAGTTATTGTTAAAAATAAGGACGGTTCCTCATTTTCACGTGATAAGACTGACGTTGGAACATCATTTGGAAGGCAATAGAATTTAGAATACACACTACACTGTCGCTTATTAGCAAGGGAACTTGGGATATTAGTAAAAATAAGGTGGGGCTCGTCATTTTAAAGTGATTAGAGGCACGCGGCCACAACGGTTTGAAGGGAATAGAAAGCGGAAAGAGGATAATTTATTGTCGTTCTAGCCAAGTGTATGCGTGTTATTGTTAAAAAGGAGGAGGTGCCGTTATTTTAAAGTGATAAATCGGACGTCGGAACATCCTTTTGAAAGCAATAGAAAGTGGAAAGCTGATACTATACTGTCGGTCATAGTCAAGTGAATGTTTGTTATTGTCAAAGATGAGGACGGGTTGAGGTTTTAAAGTGATAAGACGGACGTGTGCACATCATTTTGAAGGAAATAGAAAGCGGAATGATAACACTACCCTATGGGGTTTTAAGCAAGTGAATGTGTGTTATTTTCAAAAAGAAGGACGTTCTTTATTTGAAAGAGATAAACGAACATGGGCACATCATTTTGAAGGAAAGAGAAAACAGGCTAGATCATTATTCTAAAGTTAATAATAATAAGGAAGAAGAATTTTTTTTATCGAGAGGTATTCATTAATTTGAAATCATATCAACATGGACACATTATTTTGAAGTTGTTATGTAAAATGACAATGAGGAGATATTTGAATGTAATGAAAAATATGAGATGTTTTTCGAAAGAAACTTGTATAAAACACTTTACACCACCCACTCATCCATGCTTACAGCACCTTGCATTTCCAAGCAGTCAGTCATCTAGATACTGACCTTGTTCGACGTTGCTTAACTTCTGTGATCGTATAAGAACCAGTCTTTCAAAGTGACATGGCCATAAGCCCTATAGACCATTCGCTCATTCAAGATTACTGCACCTGTTATTTCCAAGCGGTCAGCCATCTAGATACTGACCTTGTTCGACGTTGCTTAACTTCTGTGATCGTATGAGAACAAGTCTTTCAAAGTGACATGACCATAAGCCCGTAATGTTGGAGAAAGTCAAAATGGAATTGATTGGAACATCTGTGAAGTAGAAAGAAAAGCAAATATTATTGATTTCTAATAGGATGAAAAGTTGAAAAAATGATAGAAGAAAAACAATGACAGGCGACAACAAACAAATAACAGGAAAATAAAATGGCGATGTCAAGGCAAAAATAAGAATGGCTAAAGAGGAAAAATCTGCAGTGAAAAACGAAAAACGATGTCTTTGTGCTAATACTTTTAGATTTTGCATGCAGTAATACTTAATGGGGGAACGTGAGTTTTCAAAAAGGGTTAAGGTGAGGGGTTTTGTTTTTAGGTGGAGGGAATGAGGCCGATGAAGGTGACCAGTATTGAATATGGCAGGGGCCTGTCTCCACAGTAGAAGGGGTCCTTGGACACGGGGAATGTAGAATGAAGGGGATGCTGGGAAATGGAAAATGACATCACCGTTGAAAAGTGATTGTTCTTAATATGAGCAATGCAAAGGTTTATCTCGACATATGAGAGAGAAAAGGGCCGAGGGAGAATTAGAAGAGAGAGAAAGAGATAGGGAGAGAGAGAGTGGAAGGAAGGGTGTGAGGGAGAGAGATACTCTAGAATAAGGGTAGTGGGAGGGTGTCAAGGAGTGTGTTACTAAGGTGTGGAGAAATATCGAATGACTCAGTGGGTCGTAGGGCTGACTGGCCCGCACACACTTAAGCTTGCATACGCTCGTGCGCACAGGCCTCACGCATAGACATTCTCAAACCTTCGCAGACTCATATGCACACACAAGTCAATCGTTATGCAGAAAATTATATAAAAATGTGTATTCGGGGAAGTTAGAAATTTCACAGTTAATTGCGAAAAGCAAAATATAACATAGGTTGTACAAAAAAAAAAAATAAATAAAAAACCCAAAAAACTGCAAACAAGAAAATTAGAAAATAATAGAATAGCCAATCAATACAATAGGACCTTTTAAAAAATTTTAAAACATTTTAATCGATTTGAATTTTTCTTAATCGAATTTCTTAAATCTATGAAAATAGGTTGTCGAAAAACGAAATTTTATATAGAACGATAAAAATAGACATTAAAAAGCAATTTATTAAAAAAAAAAAACACTCAAAACAATTCATATCAAAAAAGAACCGTTAAATTTTTTTATAAGTATTTAACCCCAAACAAGGCAGGAGTGCGACTAGCAAGCAAGGGGTCACAGAGAGTGAGAGCAAGAGTAAAGAGGGGTGTTTTAGGAAGGGATATAGAGAAGGATGGGTATCAGAAGCAAGGCATCCGATATGAATATTTGAAGATTATAGCTATCAGGAAAGCAAATAAGGGGAAAGGAGTTTCACTGTTGGGAAGTGCGAGAGAGGAAGCTGTTGGAGTAGAAGAGGCGGTTACATTTGACTGTTTCGACAGTGAAAGGGTGGGACCGAGACGCTTAAATTCATGCAGTTAGGGTACCAGTGAAAGTAGCTCGTCAGTGCATTTGCCATGAAAATATTTTAAAAAACGAAATATAACAAAGATTAAAAATACTGCTAAACCAATTCATTGGTTCTTCGTCAGAACAAAAATCAATGAAATAAATGTGCACTGCGACTAAAGAATATCCAACACAGACAAATGTTATATGCAAGAAAATATAACATTAAAAGCTAATTACTTTTCATCCCAGCAAACATTCTTTTTTTTTCTTAATGAGAGATGGTTGGTAGGACTTAATATACACAGATTCCAACACTTTCAAGTGATGATCGGAACTAGCCTTACATGTCTGGGTTATAAGACCGGACACACTGCTAGTGTTTAATCAAATGTTCAGCTATCACTGAACCTATTACATTAACTCACCGATGTTAACTGTCCATCTTTCTCTTGCAAAGATTGAGTGGTATGTGTTGGTTGATCCGTGCTTCGAACTTTTGATCCGTACTGGCTACATTGACATGTGAATTTGTAAATTATAGACCTAATATGATGAGTAGGCAAGAAATCCTTCCGGTTCAGTCTCATCATCATCAAAAAAAAAAAAAAATGCAATCGAAACTTTTCTAGTAAATCTCGCACTTACTTCACTAATCGGCAGACGTTTGATTCTGAAATTGAATTTATTAGGGCGGTTCTGATTGGGAATCATTACCTTTCAGATATTGTGGAGTCCAGCATTAGCAACAATTTCGGAAGCCTCGGCTAATGGTCCGCAGAAATGTCCTATCAACCTGCGTGTACCGTGGATTGATGAGGTGAGTGCGGGATCTGGCAAACAAATTTCAGTAAGACCCCCCCCCGTTTCACCGAGCCACATTTTTGGTACCCCAGCCATGTTAAGAGTGATACGGAAGGATGACTTGCCGACGAAATAACGAATGAAATTTTGTCATTCCTATGGTTCGTTATTTTCTTTTACGGCATATCAACCTCAGTGGGTTATTTAATGACAATTTTTATTGCTGGTAATATTTTCTTTTCTCAAAAATCTATTTCTGTTAATATTTTTTCCTCAAAAATGTATAGCTGGTAATATTATTTTAAAAAATGTATTGCTAGTAATACTTTTTCTTTTAGAAACGTATTGCTGGTAATAGTTTTTTTTCCTTCAAATTTTATTTCTGGTAATAATTTTTTTCACAAAGTTTTTCTGGTATTAAAACCTATTTTTACACTTTCATAATGCTTTTTACCTCAGTTTCGGGGTTAACTATTTGCCCATAGCTGGGACCCTAACAAGTACTACCACCCCGGGTCAGGGTGGAACCGGGAACACCAGCAATTAAGAGGTGGTTTCATCCTCCTGATCAGAGGGCTTGCTGTTAGATGTAGTTTATCGTCTTACCCAGGACGCGGATGTAGTTTATCGTCTTACCCAGGACGCGGGTGTAGTTTATCGTCATACCCAGGACGGGTTATTTCTATGGGATTCCCAGTTAATATAACATTCTTGCAACATTGCAAACACGCTGTATTCTGGTTGGAGGATTCGTTGTTGGTTGATTTTGTTTAGCGGCATATCAACATCTCAATGGGTTATTTAATGCCGAAATCTAAATATTTCGGAACAATTTTTAGGCTTTGAGACTTACGGCCACATCAGTTTGAATCCCCGGTTCCTGCACTTCATCACCAAAGTTAAGCAACATCGAGCCTGGTCAGTACCTACATGGATGACCGCTTGCAAATATCAGATGCTGTAAGCTTCGCTGTGGTGTAATGGATAATGGCACGGAATTGTTAATCGAAGAGCTGAGTTCCAATTCCGGTTGGGTTTGATATATTCACTTACGCAAAGTTGCCCTTGGGAACAGTATGATTCCACCTTTTCATCCCCCAGCTATGGATTAATTAGTAAGATTTGTATCACTAAATATTTAGATTTCGGCATTAAATAATTAGTAGAGCTTGATATACCGCTAAACAAAGCCACTAAATATATTTTGAACACAATTGTATGCCTTCAACTACAGATAAAATGTATTGTTGGTCATTTTACTATAAATATGTATTGTTGGTTGGTTGATTTTGTTTAACGGCATATCAACATCTCTATGGGTTATTTAATATTTTCTAAATATTTTGAACACAATTTTATGGTTTCAACTAAATATATTTTGAACGCAATTGTATGCCTTCAACTACAGATAAAATGTATTATTGGTCATTTTACTATAAATATGTATTGTTGGTTGGTTGATTTTGTTTAACGGCATATCAACATCTCTATGGGTTATTTAATACCGAAATCTAAATATTTTGAACACAATTTTATGGTTTCAACTAAATATATTTTGAACGCAATTGTATGCCTTCAACTACAGATAAAATGTATTGTTGATCATTTTTTTTTTATATAAACATGTATTGCTGGTATAAGAATGTATTTTTATACTTTCATGGTGTGTTGTTTTTGTTTGGGTTTTACTATTTGCCCATAGCTGGGACCCTAACAGGTGCTACCACCCTAGATTAGGGTGGATCTGGGTTACAAAAGGAATTAAAAGGTGATTTCAGGCTTTTCAAAGCCTTCAGTGTCTCGATCAAAGGCCTTAATGCCGGATGTAGTTTACCCAGGGCTGTTGGACGGAGGAGATGTGCCTTTATGGCTACTTTAATGAAACATGGTAATCAATTTGATTCTTGACTTCAAATTCTTCTCCAACGTGTGTTGCAACACCATGGTAAAGTTGCGAATCGCAGGAGGTGAAAAAAGTTCCCCACTTGTGAAATAACAATATGCATAGCAATTATAAAATATCTTTTCATATTTCTTTTTTTATCAGTATCTGTCTATATATCTGAGATGAGGTATTATATACACCATTTACATTATTCGATTTTTGTCGCCATATTTATTACAACGTTTCGGCCGTTGTAAGCTCCGGACTCCTTCAGGTGATTGGAATGTCGAACTGAACCCTTTATTTCGCTTGCTGGGATAGACTGTTCTAGTTCCACGTGCCATGTCTAATGGATGTCAGTTATCAGTTATCCCCTGTTAATTCCCCTGTTCAAGTCCTCCAGTGCTTTAACCAGATATTGAACTCACACTCTTTGGGTCCTGTCACTGGATCTAACCAACGCCTTTATCCACTGTTCCACGTGTTACGTTTTATACTTTCATGGTGTGTTGTTTTTGTTTGGGTTTTACTATTTGCCCATAGCTGGGACCCTAACAGGTGCTACCACCCCGGGTCAGGGTGGACCTGGGAACACCAGCAATTAAGAGGTGGTTCCGCACTCCTCAAAATGGATGTCAGTTATCAGTTATCTCTTGTTAATTCCCGTCTCCAAGTTCTCCGCTGCCTTAACCAGGTATTGAACTCACCCTTTTTGGGTCATGTCACCTGATCCACTGTGACATGTAAATAGTTTTCTTTTTTTTTCTGTTGAGAATCAATAACTCAGATGCACATTCTAATATCAATCCTGGCATGTTATTTTTCGTTACTCCTTATTTTATTATTATTTTTTCTTCTGACACGACCATCTTTACCACTTATGCTTAA